ATAGATGGATAGGTAGATAGGGAACATTTAACAAGATGGGGCCTGACCTGTACAATCATAACACAATTGCCTATCAATAACTACAGTGGGACTTCAAGACACAAGTTGAATCTGTTCCACAATAGCATGCAGGGGACAGTGAGCGAGACAAAAAGCAAAAAACAAACCAAAAAAAAACTTGACTATTTTGGTTGCCCCCCCCCCTCCAACCCCGTCTCCATATTTTTGATTATAAAAATTACAATGAAAACTATTACAAAACATTACATTTATAAATATAGAACAAATGTTAGGCTTTTCTAACAGATTGCATCTAATACTAATCTTCTCCTCCACGACCGTGTAGTGCATCACGGCATCCAGGTCACGGGTCTTTTTGCGAGCAGCTGGGATCCAGTTTGGGCAAAAGCTGTGTCCTTCCACCAGAAGAAAAACAACAGGCTGCTAGACAAAGACAAGAGGCTAAACCCAATAATGAAATAGTAGTGGGAGACATCATGTCCATGGTTTCCATCATTGTTAAGAGATTTTGGTAAGCGAGTAGCCCCCACTTAGGTAATTTGTTTTCATGTGTAATCCTATTGCCGTGTATTAAGTGAAACCCACTGGTTTCAAATGCGGCCTATAAATAAGCCGGTTGCTATGTGCATGTGGGCAGCATGTGGGACGTCTCCTCTGATTAGAGTGAAAGCACTTAATAATTTGAAATGAAAAAGGTGACCTTCGGTGTCAGGTGACATCAGCGCGGTGCCACACGTGAGGCTCAACAATACATTGTATCTAATGTCCATTCCTGCAAGCTGCAGAGATGACGTGAACCAATGACTATCAACTGACGGCCCGTGAGCCGCATCCAGCCTGCCGACCCATCTAATTAGGCCTGCGACTGGATTCCAAAATTGGGAGGCTTTTAAAAAATATAATGTAATCTGGAATAGCAACTGGAAAAATAACAAAAAAAAAAACTGAGACTTTACTAAATATTAGTAATCCCCACCATTTATGGCTATTTGAAAAAAATGTTTTTGTCTGACCCCAAAATGTCTATCCCCCAAAAATGTCTGTCCCTTGCAGGTATATAGTTGGTGATCCCTGATGTCAATTTTTTTTCAGGGTCCCAATGTTTGTTCCTTTCAAGACATTCCCTTCGACTTCCAGAGGAGGCGCTGTTCCTCTTCATAGCAGGCTGGATGCGGCCTAATGAGCCGCATCCAGCCTGCCGACCCATCTAATTAGGCCTGCGACTGGATTCCAAAATTGGGAGGCTTTTAAAAAATATAATATAATCTGGAATAGCAACTGGAAAAAAAAAACAAAAAAAACTTAGACTTTACTAAATATTAGTAATCCCCACCATTTATGACTATTTAAAAAAAAAAATTTTGTCTGACCCCAAAAATGTCTGTCCCTTGCAGGTATATAGTTGGTGATCCCTGATGTCAATTTTTTTTCAGGGTCCCAATGTTTGTTCCTTTCAAGACATTCCCTTCGACTTCCAGAGGAGGCGCTGTTCCTCCTTAAAAAATAAACTCATGCACTCTGTTACAAACATCCTATCTTCGTCTTCATTTTTTTCCCATTTTGCCATTTTGAGAGCAAGTTTCCCTCCAAGTCATTTGTGTCGACGCCCATGCGAGACACGTGAGATTCGCTAGCATGAAAAAAACACAAACACCATATTTGACACGAACGTAAGAGCCGCAGGAAACCGGGCAAAGAGCCGCATACGAACTGTTCATACTGCATTAATAGCAATATTGGACATTACCTGGATCTGGGTACAGAGAAGTCAAGACAGCACAGAATCACTTTGCCTCAAATGGCAATTATCGATTGAAACGTAATATATAGCGACCAACGAACAATTCGGCGTTCGTAAGTTGGCTTAAGACTAATAATGTAACATCCCCATGTCTTTTGTGACTTAAATGCTATGACATTTCAAAAATGTGAAAAAAAATGGGACATACAGGTTGACTCCAATTTAACTCACATTTGAAATAAGCCCTCTGCTGGTAAAGAACAGCGCCCCCAAGAGGATCGGACCAGAATAGCAGAATGTGATCGTCTGTTTTTTTTCGTCACAGTACAATAGACCAGCGGAAAGCAAATCAAGCATCTGCTCAAAGGCCACATCCCAACCCCGCACCCAGATCTGATCTCCAGAGGAACTCGTGCCTGGAGCCTCCACAGCTAATTCCAGTGCCCCCACCAGACACAGTCTAATTAAGGCCATGCATTTATTTATGATTGAGCTCATTAGATAGGGAAGATGTTTGCTGCTCCGAAAACACATCAGTCCCCGGGGAAACCGTCTGTGAAGTCGCTCTGTTTTAGGTCACACTGACAAAATCTTTGTGACACGACGGGAAAATGGGAAGTGAATTATGGTTTTGGACATTCTTTGGGGATCACCCCAAGGTCAACAGCCATAGAAAATGATAAGATGTTTTGTTGCCTCCATTAGTGTAACTGCCACAGCTCACAAAGCAGAATTTAGCGCATGTTGTTGTTGCCAATGGTCAACATTTCAATGTCATTTCAATGGTCAATGGTCAACAATTGCCATTGTTGGCAATGGTCGGTTTCAAAAAATTTAAAGTTCCAATATTTTAATTATTTTCATGAAAATCATAATTTTCTAGATTTAAAAAAAAGAAGAAAAAACAATATATAAATAAACGCAAAAACATTTTGAAACACCTACATACAGGGTAATGCAAAAAAAAAAAAAAAAATTGTACAGTACGTACGGGTAAATGAGATTTGGGTTGGGAAATCTAAGCTACCCGCATGTCATGCATAACATATATACAGTATATTGTGAGCATTTAATTCATGTAGGGTAATGACCGACGTTGGACACAGAAGGGCATTATTGTTGTTATACGACCGTTGATAACATTGTGGGGGTGGTTCGTAAAGGGTAAATATATACGTAAATAATATAAAAACTCTCGCTTCTACTTCACGGTGGAAACGCAACTACTGCGGTGGGAGAAGGATAACTGTTCCTCAAAGGACACATAATCTTTGTAAGTGAATCATGTTACAATTTGTCTGTAATTTCAGTGATAATACTTGATATGAAAACTATTACGATATGTACATTATATATTGTATAACAGAATTTTTCATAGATCTGGGTCCTGAATTGATGTGACATTTCAAAAACCATAAAGGAAATCCTAAATCCTATATACACACTATATAGGATTTCCAATATACCTTAGGGCTTCTTAACACAGTTTTTGCTATTATTATTATTATTATTATTCCCTTAAACGTTAGCAGCTAACAGCTGGTGCTGGTGTAAACACTGACATTAGCTATTAGCGCAATGCTAATAGCTAATGCCGGCATCACCAGTGTAAACCCCGGCGTTGGTGTTAGCGCTAACAGCGCTAATACCGGTGTAAACACTGGTGAAAGTGTACAGCATATACGGACGCGTTCCCTGCACAGTAAATCAAAGCTGCAAACTTTTTTTACTCAGGGACATTTAGTGCTGAACATAGACTGGTTATGCTGCGTCTTGATAATATTTAAACAAGGTTTAACACGTCAGGACGTGTGCTAAAATAAAAGCCTTTCCAAAAAAAAAAAAGAGCTTGTTTCGCAACATTATAAATGGCTCTGACACAAAAAGGGTAGGGGACCTCTGCATTAAAAGATCAATTTTCATTTTTTTCCCCCCTCCATTTGAAAACATTTCCAAAACAACCCCTCGAGTGTGTGAGGCACTTGGTACACTCACTGCTACGGGTGCATTTCCAGTGACACATGAGTCTGTGTTTATCCGGACTCTAGAAGCCTTTTAGCAGCGGCACAGCGGCGAAACCTTTAACATTTTATGACTGACATAATTGAGAGGAGAGTGGTTAAGTGCAAATCTAAGCCATTTTTGCCTCTTTGCGTTATTGAATGTTCTTTTAGTGAATGTTCCTTGTGCTAGGTAACTTAGCACTCCAAGCAAAGGACTGTTTTAACAATGTTTTCAGAGGCCACGATGAAGTGAAGCAGGACCATTCCGAACCGCATTTCACACCATTAAAGGTATTTTCCAACGGCATCTGGTTTCATTGAAGCTGGAATTTTGTACAACTGGAGACATGCATGCCGGTAAGTGTGGTATGTACAGGCCTGACTGGCTGTTTCTGTTACAGGAAAAATGAAAATATGTGAACTTTTCGACAAGTCGACATGGGATCTTTCACCTAACATTGCTCTTACGGCCCTGTTTTCATAGGCACCGGCACATGGTAACAAACATTTCTAATGCATTTTGACCAAAACAAAATGTTTTTAGGCTTAAAAATTAAAATTAACCGAGGCATTCTAATCTCACATGGGTTTTTTTTTATTAATTAAATACCAATACCATAGTGGAGCAAATGTCTCAGAAAATATCACAAATAAATTTCTCTTTCATTCAGCATTTATATTTCGGGTGACAATCTCTACATTTCTCTCTATGAGCAGGTTTCTTTTATTTATTTGCCGTCGATTTATGTGTGAAGAAGAGGAGCCATGAAAGGAGAGGTTAGGCCAAGCATGGGAAAAATAAGGCCCGGGGGCCCCGGATGTAGCCCGTTCAGCTTTGTAATACGGTCCGCCAAACATGTCGCAGTTATAAAATTGCTTTGTCTTGTGATTATACCTCTGTCTTTTCACTGCAATGCCCACGTTTTCCCCACAGATGGCGTAGAGAAGGCTAAAAGCATGTTAGCCTTTCTGCATGACTTTTACATGTCATTTATCTTAGTTTACACGAACTCTCCATCTATTGTGGCCCGCGAGTCAAAAAGTTCGCCCAAGCCTGAATTAGGCTGATTAGCAGTGTGGCAAAGTCGCACGTACCACAGGCCCCACATGGACACTAACATATACAGTACATGCATATTAAACATACATGGCAGTATAACAAATTACACCTTCGAGTCTTCGAGAGAAAATCTGACTTTTTACATTAAAACACAGATTTTTTTAAACCTCCCTTCTTTTTTTTTTTTTTTACATCATCCACAAAAACCCTTTCCTCGTGAACAACACTGAAAATATATAAAGTTGAAACACAATGAGGGTATAAAAGAAAAAAAAAGAGAGGAAATCAAAGGGTTCTGTTCCACCCCACCCCCGCCCCCAAAATTGTCTTTTTTAAGAAATACGCAGAGTTGAAAAGTCTGCATCTCTTAAGGTGTGTTATCAGTCTTTTTTTTTCCGTTCTCGTTGTTCTCTCAGTAAAGCCACGTCACCTTCTTTGCATAAGATTTAATTCTCTTCGGGCAGAGTTCATTCCAACTGGTCTCCATTTTTTTGTTTTGTTGTTTTTTTATTATTTCAAGATTGTATGGAGTCCGTAGCGTCCTTTTTTTTTGACGAACGTGTACATGAAGAACACAAAGCCGTTTTTGTGTGAGAAAAGGGGACAAGGTCAAAACTAAGCTCCGGGCTTTTATAAACAAATAAAAGTTTATTGGCATGAAGAGAATCCAAGATTTTAGCAGCTGGGGCTTGCTGATCCACGGTAATCTGGGAAGAAGATGAGTGCGGAGCTTACAATGAAGGCACAAGTCCAATTCCTGGAACAGCTCTTTAACACACCTGACAAGTGGAAGACGGGAAAAAAAAAAAGGAATCAGGCAAATAATTCTGGTTCCATGGGGTGATGATGGTATTCGTTCTTTTAAAATGCAAACCCCCAAAAGCGAGGTGTTAAAAATGATGGATTTCAGGCCTAACAAGCAAGACATTTCTTTGAAATGTTCTTTTAGAAGTGCGCGTAGTACCTTCTGATCGGACAGCAGAGGGTTTGTCGGCAGTGAACCTAAATGGCCGTTGATAAGTGCTGTTGGTCGGTCATGTTCACAGAACAGGCTACCGTTGATGTAGTGGAACCGATCCCCTGGTACGAGCCGGTTCCGGCAGGTGGAACATGTGAAACACTGTAGGGCAGGTAAAAA